GGAAACGTCAGCTTATACAAAAAAGGGCACACTAACCCGTAACAAAAGATTACACCAAGAGATACACCCGTGTTGGCCAAGAATGGCAACCACCAAACGAATCTTTCACTATTCTTCCCTCCGTTGTCATTCTCATTGCAGGTGCACTGGCCGGGTGTAAACAATGGCTCTGGCGTTCCCCACAGTTCAACTGGCTTGCGAGACGTGCAGATTAAAATTCGTTAGTGAGACAAGAGAGGAAGAATAAATGGGCGTGGTGGTGCGAGAGGCAACCGTGGGCGAGGTGGGGAGGGCGGGGGCGCGGCGGGTTCATAGCACCGTGTCATCAGCCTCTACACTCCATCTCCCAAAGGTTAGGCGGACCCACGCCGGCCCCGGGCGCTGTGACGCCACTGGCTCCCGGCACACACACACACACACACCCCACCACCCACCCCAACCTCTCAACCCTCAAACCTTAGTAGTACCCAGTGTACAGCGAGAGGGATTACTGGCTCCGTGAGGCAGAGATGAACAGGTAGAGGATTACACGAGTCTGAGGAAGGATATCCGCTATAAACAGAGGTGCTAAGCAAGAGGAGAGAGAGACATTGCTAGTGAGAGGGGTCAATGACCGCTGGGACTTGACCAAACAAGGATACTCTCTCTCCTAGCGGACCTGTAAGTCTAAATGCTGGACACTGACGGTATTGCACTTTGCGCGCAGGTGACGCCTACACACACACAGAGGGCCTGACGGCTGAGTGGAAAGCGCTCAGGATTCGTAGTCCTAAGGGTCCGGGTTCGATCCCCGACGTAGGCGGAAGCAAATGGGCAGACTTTCTTTCACCCTGATGCCCCTGTTCACCTAGCAGTAAATAGGTACCTGGGAGTTACAGCTGCTACGGGCTGCTTCCTGTGTGTGTATGTACTCACCTAGTTGCGCTTGCGGGGGTTGAACTGTGAGCAACTTGAGAGTGGGCTGTGAGGTACAACTTCGTTTGGACTGGACCACACACACAATATACACACGGAGAGGTGTACCCCGATTCTTGATGTATACACACACGAGTTTACCTTAATCCTGGGCTGTGTTCAAGATTAAAGTGTTCTCGGTGATGGTTCAACACACTATCGTGGCCCCTCCAGAGGTTGACAAGCCTTAAACCCAACTCCTGCCAAACCGACTGGAAATAGGTCATCTTTACATATTAATATCCTTAGGGACCTGGTCACGTAGCTACCTTAAACTACATGAAAGGTTATATAATGTGTCAAAGAGCCATGTTACACTAACAGTCCTCCATCTTGCAGGAGGGTTAGTCATACAGGACCATGTGATTAGTAGCCATCACTGGCAGATTTAAGTGAATTATGAGGCCATCTTCAAGCACAGTGGATAATGAATTTTCGAACCGCCAGGTTCCTCCTACCGGCAGGTGTGAAGGGCCTAATGACCGGACATTCAATAATGCGATGTCTGTGAGATCAATACTCAGTAGTTTCTGCTCATAGTTTACAACATGGAGTGGTAACGACTTGGAGGTTGGTCAGCTGTACCCACATACTACACGTAACTGTAGCCCAGCCTGGGCCTGCAACCCGTTCTCGCACTTTCGTATAGTCAATATTGACTTATTAAATACGTGTATATGTGACATACTAAACATACTAGTTTACCTTGAAAAGCTTCATAGAAAACACCGACCTTACCTAACCTTCTTAGTATGTTAAGATAAGCAGTATATATAACCTATACCTATAATAGGTTAAGTAATAATTGTAATTACGAAGCAATAAGATGCTTATCTTAACATACTAAGAAGGTTAGGTAAGGTCGGTGTTTTCTATGAAGCTTTTCAAGGTAAACTAGTATGTTTAGTATGTCACATATGCACGTATTTAATAAGTCAATATTGACTGTAAGAAAGTGCGAGAACGGGTTGGGGCCTGGTAGCCACCTGGCTGCCTGGTCTCTGGTGACCGTTCTGTGCTACTCATACACACACATATATTTAAATTTAAGTATCGGATATAAGTAAATCATAACTTTTTATACTAATGCTTTCAGGCCTTTGAGAATCTGTAATTTCTCTCCTATCAGACCTGCATGTTTAGAGACGAAGCCTAGGCCAACAGAAAACGGGTTGTGTGACGACGGCGGGGTGATGACTTGGGGGAGCACGCCACGTCTCAAGGAAGTTGGAGGGTGTCATCAACCCGTACCTCGGCGGTGTATACCGTCACCCCACCTCCCCTCCCCTGCCTCCTTGCCTCTCCCCCACCTCCCTCCAACTCCCGTCTCTCCTCAGCTACCACACTAATCTATTTTTAGACCAAGAATATACACAGATGCACATAGGGGGCTGTAGGCTTTTAATAACGAACCAGCGTGTGGACCTACGATCTCTATCCTACGGATATCTATCTCCGATAGATAGGTCAAGACTACAGTGGATTTGAGCAGGACGGTCCTGCTTGTCGCACCTGCTGGACCACTATCACACGGCCTGAGATGCCATGGAAACGCCCGCGAAATATATACAGTCTTCGCCAAACCTTTCGACAAATGTGACCATGGTATAATACCTAAAATGCTGACGAAATAAATAAATGGTAAAGTAGGAAATGGATCTTTAACTCCCAATCAAACTGAACCCAAAAGGTAATAAGTCAACATAGTAAAATATTGACTAAACGTTCTGAAAATCACTATTCCTCAGGGTATTGTACTTGAACAAGTCCACAAGGGCCGTGATGAGGATTCGAACTTGCGTCCGGGAGAAGTATTGTACTTGTTCCGTTACTTTTCCACTTATCTGACAAAGACACAATCTATAGCCCCGCATCAGTCATTCAAGATGACTTTATTTCTGACGAAAATAGCATTTATATAGTACACACCAAGGGTGATTTAAAACAATGAAGACAAGTTCCAGTTTCTGCAGTATTGCAAAGATGAAGATATTACACCTGGAACCCCATAAAGATAAATGACAACACAAAAGACACGTGAGAAATTATGCCAATCCAAACTATCATTCCTAAATAACGCATTAGAGTGACTGTCACAACTGCAAGGGAAACGATAGGCGATTCGTTTAGGTCCCGTAATATATGTTAATGTATTCACAGAGAAATATTTAACGGTGGTCAACAGTGTTATATATCGAGCAGATGAGAATGAATCTGGTCTAACTACAGCTGTATGTGAGACCTGTAGAAACCCTCCTCCTCATGTTGATCACCTGCACACTGTAGACCATGTAATTGTCGAGAAAGATTGAAAAAAGCTATACAAAAAATGGTCGCTATGATGGTTCATTTAAGATGTACGCTGACAACAGTAAGCATGGAACGCCAAAGTTGTGTGTGTGTGTGTGTGTGTGTGTGTGTGTGTGTGTGTGTGTGTGTGTGTGTGTGTGTGTGTGTGTGTGTGTGTGTGTGTGTGTGTGTGTCTTACAGGCTCCTACGGTACATGACTTAGTGTTATCTCCTTAATGACCGTCTCTACCATTCCAAAGAACTGCTGAGTCTATATGTCTTCTCATAACTATAGAGTTATTGCCCTAAAACACTATTAAACAAAGTATTTGATTATATTATTCTTGACTTACTGGCTAACGAGCTAGACACCTCTGACTCTCACTTTACATACAAAACTGGTCACTCAACAATGTTTTGTAGTTTCTTGGTGGCAGAAACTATAGAGAGAAAACTGAGCCAACTAGTGAGAATACCTGTCTTACCGCCCTAATGATAAACCACCTAGCTTGGTTTGACCACGTTATATCACCTTTCAGTTGTAAGCTAAATGTCACTCTATGCCAAAAATGGAAGTTTGATCTAACCTGTTGACCTGACCACACACTAGAAGGTGTAGGGATGACGACGTTTCGGTCCGTCCTGTAAGCTAAATGCCACTCTATGCCAAAAATGGAAGTTTGATCTAATCTACTGACGAGACCACACACTAGAAGATGAAGGGACGACGACGTTTTGGTCCGTCCTGGACCATTCTCAAGTTGGTCCAGGACGGACCGAAACGTCGTTGTCCCTTCAGCTTCTAGTGTGTGGTCTGGTCAATATACTTTAGCCACGTTATTGTGACTCATCGCCTGCATTTGATCTAACCTGTTTACTCAAGCCAGTATTGTAATGATTCGTGCAAGTCGTTACGTATAAAGTTTCTAACTCAGATAATGATAATGTCCACGTGTTATTCTGTTACTGTCACATGTAATCAATACCTGCAATTTTTGCGTAAACTTTCGCAATCATAAAAGTACAACCATTTATGAGTAAAATGTTCTGATCCGATTTGATTTGAATTGTGTTGTGTCGGGCGGCATACTGATGCACATTAATTGCTCTCTTGAAACTGGAGAGACCGCCGACCTGTAGTCCATCCAACTTAAACACCTATGTTACTGGGACCACTTACAGTCTCTCAAACTGTACATCTTAGACCGCACACCAGATGCATGACACATCATAATCTACATCTGGAAAACATTAGGAGATACTGGTTCTAATTCTACACACCGAAATCATTCATTACGGGATCGAGAGATGTGCAGAATAGCCTCATTTTAAAGTAAGATGTGACACGAACACTAAGAAAACTGTAGGTAATAAGAGCCCCAAGACGCCGACACCCGCTAAACACAAGGGGCATTACGAACACGCCTCTTACCCCTGAACTATATGTTTAACACATCTCTAACCCTGTCCATGGAGGACAGAAGAAACTGTATATATGCTGGTTAGCATTGTAAATGAGTGGCCACGTCTGTGGTAGAAAATAATAATAATAATAATAAAAACTGTGTTCAAGAGGGACCTTGAAAAACACTTCCAATGGATACCTCAACTGGGTGGTGGCTCCTTCGTCGGACATGGACGGACGGACGGACGGACGGACCCACCGACGGACGGACGGACCCACGGACGGACCCACGGACGGACGGACACATACACCGGAAAGAAGATTAAGCAGACTTTTGTCCGTCTTAGCTTACCTGTTTTTTTCCAACTCGTTGTGTGTCGTCCTGAAATAGACAAAAAATATCTTTAAACACCAGCATATCAAAACGGCGCGTCATTAACAGCTAAAGTAACTTCCACTCCATAACCCTTGAACGTGTTCCCTGACCAATGTTGTTACGCGACACATCGCGAGATAAGAGAATGTATGTCCAAGGTTGGAGGCCAGACAGACGCTTGGGGTTAGCCTCACCCAACTTTCACACATGAAGCGTGTGGGGTGAGGGAGTGACATAGGCCCGCCGGAGTCGGCTCAAGTTCCCTACTAAGAAATATCGGCATCTAACCCCTCCCCCGCCCCCACCCCATCCATTAAGTCTGAAATATTCAGTGTGTTGTTCAGACTTATTTAGCAATTTCGGTTCTTTAATATGAAATTTTTTGAGAGAGAGAAGGAGAGGGAGGCGGGGGAAGAGCGGAGAAGTAAGAGAAGGTCTGGATGGCGAAGAGTGCGAAGGAGAGAGGTGGAGAGGGAGAGAGGTGGAGAGGTGAAAGGGGGAGAGATGGTGGAGGGGAGACTGGAATGTTGGGGATAATGATGGTGAAGGAAAGAGATGAGAGTGTGGGAGACTGGGAGAGAGAGAGAGTGGGATGATGAGTGCATATTATTATATATATATATATATATATATATATATATATATATATATATATATATATATATATATATATATATATATATATATATATATATATATATATATATATATATCCACACACACACACACACACTCGCGCATACAAACAATAGCGGTCTCTCTTGGGAATCTTAATTAAAAAAGATTGATCAGTGTCGCAAGAAATATCTCTTGAAGTAGTATGTTTAATTAAAAAAAAAAGACTTCAAATGACGTTTCAAACAACGTGTTCCTCATCAATCTAAAAATACACAAAAATAATTCAGCAAAATATTCCTCAAAATGCAAGTTAAAATTAAACAAAATAATTCAAATATACAAGATACAACAAAATTACAAATATACAAGAGAGAACAAAACTAATGACGACACTATGGTTAACCAAAAAAATAAATTTGCAAACAACTGGTTTAGTTTGTGCTTGGCGTCTATTAACTTATGCAAGGTTATTAATGTATCACAATAGTTTACTAACCTACTAACAAGCATACCTCAGGTACAGACGATGAGTCACAATAACGTGGCTAAAGTAAGTTGAATCGACTTGAGAATGGTCCGGGACGGACCGAAATGTCGTCGTCCCTTCACCTTCTAGTGTGTGGTCTGGTCAACAAAGTATACCTCAGCCCTAAACATAGCCCAATACTAAATTAAACTCTGTGTATATACACATCTAGAAATGGCTAACACCTCTAGCTGAATATATGAAACAAATATAAAAATCAATACAGGGAATTTATGCAAAATATCACCAAAGAAATTATAAAAACACTAAACACCAGCATTTAAAAATTCAAACTCCAATATTACAGAAAATAACTAATGTATACTAATTTCCATAGACAGTAAACCCACACAAAACCATATAACACAATACAACTAAAAAAAAAAAGAACTTGACGGGGTAAACTAAAGAAAAATGGCTTAAATCTAAACTGTGCAAAGCGGCACAGATAAGACGTCCTTATTCAATGACGGTTGAAGTTCTTTAATATATAAAGACTGCATTAAAGATCTTGGGCCGTCATAGAATACAAACGTCTCGTCTGTGCAACTTTCCACACTTTAAAATTTAAGTCAATTTTCGTTAGTTTTCCGCATTTCAAGTTCATTTTTTTTTAATTTATATTATGCTATATGGTTTTGTGTGTGTGATTAATGTCTATGGAAATTAGTATACATCATTTTTTTTAATGTTTGAAAGTTTAAATATTAGTTTTTAGTCTTTATATAATTTCTTTTGTGTTATTTTGTATAAATTCCCTGAATTGTTGTATTTTTGCCTGTATTTATTGAATAAGTGACTATAATTTGTAACAATTATATAACTTTTAACAATTGTTCATCAGTTTAGTATTATGATCGACCATAATGTGAGTAATTTAGTTTTATTTTGTATATAAGTGTCGTGTCATAATACTGTATCTTGAATTTTTTTTAATTTAGGTTTTACTAAGTTTTTTTGGCATGAATAAATTTGAGTTTGATTTTCGCAATATAGATTTGTACCATTTTTGTTTTGCTTGTTTTCGTGTGAATATCTAATGATGAACACAGAGTTGTTCGAGACATCTTTTAAAGTATTTTTTTAAATAAAAAGTACTATCTCAAGATATGTATGCCACGGCACTAGTCATTCATATTGTGTTTATATTTGTGTTCATATATATATATATATATATATATATATATATATATATATATATATATATATATATATATATATATATATATATATATATATATATGACAATGTCAGACCACGGAGGAAAAATGAAACAGGAATTTCCTTAAGTACTTTCGTATATTAAATACATCTTCTGAAGGAAATACATCTTCAAATCACCTTCTGAAGATGTATTTAATATACGAAAGTACTTAAGGAAATTCCTGTTTCATTTTTCCTCCGTGGTCTGACATTGTCACATTCTTAATCACGTGTTTATTTTCGTGATAAACACACACACACACACACACACATATATATATATATATATATATATATATATATATATATATATATATATATATATATATATATATATATATATATATATATATAATATTTCAAATGGGGAACAGGCATAAATAGCCCGTAGGTTCTAGTACCAGCTCCATTATATATTAAAAAAATATATAATACGTGTGTGTGTGTGTGTGTAAATCACAAAGAAATTAACACGTGTTGAACAATGTGAGAATAAAATACGAATAGAATACGAAGGAAGGATTAAGACAGGAATTTCCTTAAGTACTGTCGTATTTAATAATACATCTTGAGAAGGGTGAATTTATAATTCAGTGGTGTGGATATATAGGCAGGAACGAGGTGAGCTGAAAAACAATGTCTTTGTTCACAAACTTAAGAAAATAATGAGATAAGAAGCTGGATCAGTTAAAAAATGATGTGATTAAGATCACTGATACATATTTATCTCAATAATACCTTATTAATATCCTCTTATCTCATTATTCTGTTGTGTTTGTGAAGAAAGACATTGTTTCTCACCTCAACTCATTCCTGCCTATGTATCCACACCACTCAATTGTAAATCCTTCCTTCTGAAGATGTATTATTAAATACGAAAGTACTTAAGGAAATTCCTGTTTCAATTCTTTCTTAAGGGCACATTTATCATCACGTGTTAATTTTCGTAACTTACACACACACACACACACACACACACACACACACACACACACACACACACACACACACACACACACACACACACACACACACACATTATATATATCACAAGCGATGGTGTGCGTGCATATAATGCGCACATAAAGCCAACAAGCACTCGTTCTCAAGCAGCCTAAGTTAGAGGTGTCGCAACTACTGTACCCAAAACCTACATTGAGGCCAAGAACTGGCAAGACAATCCAAGGCCCATGAGCTCCCCCCCCCCACCCCCCAACGTCCCCCTCACTGTCCACGTGACCTCTCCCGCTCTTCCCCCCAACACACACACTCCACATTTACCTAACTGGAGAAAATGCATCACTACACCTAACATGAAAACTACGAATCTAAACAATCCACCAATCGAGGCCAATACACTAAAAAACATCAATATTATTGCGTTTTGGTATTAATGCGTTGCATTTCTAATGGACGGGTTGATTCTGTAGTAAATGCGACTTAGTGAGATGACGATATGCACCAGTACCGCCCCTCACATACCTAACCTTTACCTTGAGGTGGTTTCGAGAGTGAGTGTCTTCGCCGCTTGGTCTACTTGGTCTTCGCGGCTTGGACTACTGACCTGGGTCAGTAGTCTAAGCCAAGCAGTAGTAGTGTACTATTGACCCAGGTCAGTAGTACACTACTGACCTGGGTCAGTAGTCGTCAAGCATGATGCAACATATTCAACAATCATAGCAGGTTTTTTTTACTCTTATTAAACAGGTTACGAACTTCAGAACTGAACAGTGCAAGGTTAGGATTGTTATAATCAACCTCCTTGTCTTTCGCAACTCATAAATTACTTAATAAATGTAATCAGGGCTGCCATAATTGAGGAAAGATGTACAGGTTTCTTAAGTAAATGTGTAAATGATTGATTGATTCTGGTCCCTGGTCTCCTGGTTGGTGGCCTGGTCAACCAGGCTGTTAGACCCGTACATACACTATATATACATACACGGGTGGAACACGAACAAGGGGACACATGTGGAAGGTGAGTACCCAAATGAGCCACAGAAAGCCATTAGAAAGAACTTTTTCAGTGTCAGAGTAGTTAACAGATGGAATGCATTAAGCAGTGATGTGGTGGAGGCTGACTCCATACACAGTTTCAAATGTAGTTTTAATAGAGCCCAGTAGGCTCAAGAATCTGTACACCAGTTGATTGACAGTTGAGAGGCGGGACCAAAGAGCCAAAGCTTAACCTCCACAAGCATAACTAGGTGAGTACAACTAGGTGAGAACAACTAGGTGAGTACACACACGCGTGCGCGCAGGCAGGCACGAGGCCTTTGACACAGTACCACATAAGAGACTGGTACACAAGTTGGAGATGCTGGCGGGAGTGAAAGGGAAGATACTCCGCTGGATAAGAGAGTATCTAAGCAACAGAAGACATGCAAGTCACTGTGAGGTGTGAGGTCTCGGAGTGGCGAGGCGTCACCAGTGGAGTCCCTCAGGGATCAGTCCTTGGACCTATACTGTTTCTGATATATGTAAATGATCTCCCAGAGGGAACTGACTCTTTCCTCTCAATGTTTGCTGATGATGCAAAAATTATGAGGAGGATTAAGACGAAGGAAGATAGTATGAGGCTACAAGATGACCTAAACAAACTGAAGGAATTGTCCAACAAATGGCTACTAAAGTTCAACCCAAGTAAATGTAATGAAAC